TTTTTTTTTTTTTTTTTTTTTTTTGAACAGAAAATCTTTAGTAGATAGTTTGTGGTGTACAAGAAGCCACATGAAATATTTCAGCTTGTTCAAACCATTGTTTCTACAAAAGGTTTACTTGATATTTCAATTTTCACCAGCGTTTACTTCTAAATTTCGGCTATGTTGCATTTAAATATTGTGTTGGTTGCTAGCACTGTGTCATTGAAATTAGTGCTTCTCAAAATACTTAACTTCTTTTTATATAGCAAGAATGGTAAACTTAAACATAAATTGGAAAAATAAATCAACTAATATGAGCGTCTGGAATTATTTTGGTTTCTCCTTATGAAAATCACATTCAAATCTCCATTTTCCATCTTAATTGATTGGAGTTGTATTTCATTTAAGATTATTAGTTTCATTTACACTCTTACTCTCATTTTAGTTGAGCAAAGACACAATTAGTGAGTGAAACAAAATACTACAACTTTTAAATTTATCAGTCCTAAACAAGCTTTGATTAGTTATATGAATTCTCTATGATCATGTTTCTCCAATTAAATTCATCTAACGCCATGCTTTTATTTTATATCGGCATCTATCTCCTAATTGTGTTGAAAACTATTAGAGGGATCGGTCTATCCTCAAAATCTGATAATAATTGAATTTGTAAGTGGTTTTAAGGATACATGGATTAACTTGAACAAAGCAATAAATTAAGTTGTAATTGAAATAAATAATGATAAAGTAAATTCAAACTACACGAGTGGGATAATTTCAGTCTTGGAAGGTCAGCCACCCTCGAACTGGATGCCCTTTGATCAGTATCAAGATACAATAGAGTAAGAGCTTAAAGCGAGAAATAATAATGTATTGCTTTGGAATGCGTGTTACAATGTGTTAAACGAATTATCAGACCCCTTTATATAATTGTGGAGTTCTACTTTAGGTACAATTCTATAAAAGGTAAACTTCTCTTGGTTTGCTGATTGTCGGTTCCTTATTGGTACGTGCCGAGATTCCCGCCGTAATATCCGACCGGTCACGGATATTTCGTTTTTCTGTTGGTTATGCTAACAATCTTCGAGCTTGTTCGGTGTTAGGATCGATTCCGGGATCATGGACTCAATATTCTCGAAGACAGGCATTCTGACCCCAGGTTATAGTCTGGTGGGACTTGGGGTCGATCTTCAGTGCTTCATGTTCCGAGCCTGATCTACCATGTCGTAGATGAGCCTGATTTCGACCGTAAACAGGATCAAATCGAAAGAGGCTCATATCTTGAATGTTAATTTAGAGTTCTCTTGAACAATGATTCATGTAATTGTTGAGAATTTCATTATAGGAGGGTCTCCATGAAAGATCTTACAGCATATGTGATCTTCAAAATTAGTTTCAGCTCACGTCTAAATAAAGGTCTTACATTATTTTTCACATGTAATTTCAACAAATTTCGCTTACTTATATTCACCGCGTCCGGCCTTTTTCCGATTCCCTTGCATAGCGAGAGCTTAGTGCACCAGACTATCCTTTTTAACTTTCTGAGTTAAATATTAGAGATGTTAAGTTTGGCAAATATTTTTGTCCCACTTCGGTGGAAAAAGAAGAGTTGGGGGGATTTTCCTCCTATAAAAGAAGGCTTAATGTTTAGGATTTAAACACACCTCTCATTTGCCTTCTTATCTTCTTAAGGCATTTGTATCTTTTCTCTTTAGTATTATTTCACTTTTATTTTTAGAGTGGAATAAAATATTGGTTGTGTCCGAGGAGTAGGCAAAGTTGGCCGAACCTCGTAAATTTTGGTGTTCCTTTTGTTATTGCTTTATTGTCTTATTTATTATTTGGTGGCTGTCATAATT